AAACTGGTAAGTGTCTGAGGCCAGATTTTAACTCAGGTCTTCCTGATTCCAGGCCCAATGCTCTATCTTTTATGCCACTTACCTGTCCAGAAACACTATATAGGGCTGGATAAAGAGAGTGGTATATACAGTAGGGTAAAGAGGATAGAAGGGTCTTTAGTCTAAACCCTATGAATTTTAGTTAAAAGAACTGAGAACGTTTGGCATTGAAGGAAAACATGATAGCCATGTCCAAATATGTGAAGGGGAATTTAAAGTCCTTCATGGGAAGCAGGGATTACACTTGATCTATTTGGCCTCAGAGAGGAGAACCATGAACACTGGTTGAAAGACAAATTTTGACTTGATGTCAGGAAAAACCTCCTCACAATTAGAGCTATCCAAAAGTGGAGTGGATTGTCATGGAAATGAGTTCCCCTTTTTAGAAGGGGCTGGATGACCATTTACCAGGTAGGTTACATTGGTATTCTATTCAAGTGTGGAATTGAACTAGATGGCCACTGAGTTACATTCTCAGCCCAAAAGTTCTTGATTTTTTTATCCAAGCATCTGTTGGAGCTCTTTGCCTGAAGCCCAGCAGGTAATAATTTCTTGACATGTTAATTCAATTACCATCTCTATGCAGATGACTACTAAATTTCTTTTCTGGGAGTCTCTAGTCTCTTCTTGATCTCTCTTCTGAGTGTTAGTCCTGCATCTCCAACTACCTACTAGACACTTCCAACTGGATTTCCATAGGCATCTCAAAATCAACATGTCTAAAACAGAACTCATTAGGAGGAACCACCAGAAAGAGGAAACAAAACTCAACAGAAGAGAAAAAAAAAATAGCAAGTAGTATGCTTCGATCTGCATTCAAATTCTATAGTTCTTTCTTTGGATGTGGATAGTATTTTCCATCACAAGGTCTTTGGAGATGCCTTAGATCCTTGTATTGCTGGGAAGGGTTAAGTTGATCAATATTAGTCATCGTACAACATGGCTGCTATTGTATACAAGATTCTCTTGGTTCTGCTCACTTCACTCAGCATCAGACCATACAAGTCATTCCAGGTTTTTCTGAAGTCAGCCGGATCATCATTTCTTATAGCACAATAGTATTCTATTACATTCATATACCACATACACCATATACCACAACTTGTTCAGCCATTCCTCAATTGATGGGTATCCTCTCAATTTCCAATTCTTTGCCACCACAAAAAGAGCTGCTATCTTGTTTAATATTTGTAAAAAAAAAAAAAAATTAGCATAGTACCTAGCACATAGGTGCTACATAACTACTTATTCTCTTCCTTTCCTTTGTTTCTCTTGCTTTGTATAAGCTGTCTTCCATGCCTGAAATGCACTCCCCCTTCACCTCTACTTCTTAAAATCTCTAGCTTCCTTCAAAACTTTCAAGTGTCATTTACCACAAGTGTCTTGCTTCCCTTCCCCTCCCCCAAAGAAATCACCTTGTATTTCTTTTGTATATATCTAGGATTTAGTTATATGTATACCCATGGTTTCTTTTCTCTTTGAGGACAAGGATTGTTTTATTTTTGGTATGTAGTTGCAAGTATCATTATCTCCTTTTATAGCTGAGAAAACTAAGGCTAAATTATTTGCCCATAATCTTAACCCTGAGGCATAATTCCAACACAGGTCTCCAAATGTAACTCACTCTAGCCTCTCCAGGGGTGGAGAACCTTTGGCCCCAACTGCAAGTTTTACGGAACAAATCCTTTTATTAAAGGGATTTGTTCTGTGAAGTTTGGGTTCAGTCAAAGGGCTGAACTTGAGGACCTAGAGGGCCACATGTGGCCTCCAGACCAAAGGTTCCCCACCCCTGCTCTAGACTATGCTGCCAATATCCATCGTGCCAGATTGCTGGCACTGATTTCTGTAACATAAACTACAAGTTATAAGTTGTCCCCAACTGTAAGGGAAAAAGTTAAATTTTCTGGATTATGTTATTCCAAAGCAGCCTCAAATAATTTTCAAGTGCTTTAGGAAAAATCCCAAGTCTTTGCTCTTAGTTTAATAAACGTTTGAGTAGCTCATCATTAGAAACCAATGTACAAAATTTACAAACACCCCTCAGTCCTCCCCCCGTAGCAAACTGCCACAAACATTGCTTTGTCTATAAGAGGAAAAAATGACATTAATTTTGGGATATTTGGTCATTTAATATTTGATCTACCCAATAGGATACATATTAATTAAAGAAAGAGTATGTGTCAAAGGCGTGTTGGATGGGGATGATTATGTATCCAACCATTGCAAATACCCAACAAAGGATAAGACCAGAAGACAAGCATTGCCTTCAAGAAACTTGTGATCTAGCCAAGGATACATAGTATTCACATGTTGACTTCAGGAAGGATAGGAACTTTTAAAATCATTGTATAAATAAAAGAAAATGAACAAATGTTGGTTCCCGATTTCATCTCTGGAAACTGAAACATCTTGAAAGTGGGAACAGGCTCTCTATCCCTGTGGTAAACAGGAGGTAGCTTGAAATCTTAGTAAATGCCAAATCAGTAAATTCTGTTATAGAAAATGAATGCGACAGTATCGTCAATATCTAGACTGGCAGTTTCTGTAACATTTCTCCAAAGTTTTGTAAATTAGGTAGCTAAACTAGAGATACTGTTCTGGAATCAGCAGGGAGGCTATAGGGAAAGAACTCTGCATTTGGAATCCGAGGATCTTGATTCGAATCCTATCAACCTATCCCATCAACCTCTCTAGGCCTCAGTTTCCTTCCTTGTAAAATGAGGGGGTTGGATTGGATAGCCTCCGAGGCTGCTTTCAATTCTAGACCTATCATCTTACGACTGCAAGTCAGAAAACCTTGGTTTTCTACACCTTCCCCCCCACCCCGCCCTTTCCCCAACCCTAGCTGTAAGATTTAGGAATAGCACATCTCTTCCTCTCTCTGGGTCTCAGTTTCCTCCTCTGTAAGATGTGAAGGGGCTGGGCAGCGCGCTCTGAGGATTCCAATTTATGACCCTGTTCGGGTCCCCATTGTGACCGCGAGCTGGCCCCACCCGGGTAGCCCCTCGGCCGGACTCAGGACCAGCGCCTTCGCCAGAGAGCAGCACAGGGTCCTGACTCAAGCGAAGCCGGTGTTCCTGCCACCCCTTCTTTGCCTCGATTTACCTCAGAGGAAAAGGAGGGCTCTCTCTCTCTTCCCGTCTGGGATCGGTGTGAAGGACGCGAGTCTCGGAGCAAGGAGGAAGGTGAGGGACAGAAGGCGGGGCGGGGTGGTGGTGGTGGAGGGTGTGGTTAGGGAAGGACTAGGGGGTGGGAGGGCAGTCCTGGGACTCCAGACGTTCCCACCTCCAGCCTCTCAGACTGCCTCAGACTGCCAAAGTGGGTGCGAATGCACGACTGGGCGAGCAGTGCCCTTGTGACACGTGTGCAAGGAGGTCCCTAGTGAGTCCTGTGCAACAAGCGTGTGTGTGTGTGTGTGTGTATGAAAAGAGGGTGGGTTGTGTTTGTGTGTGCGGCAAGTAGTTAGCTGGTGACACTTGTTCTACAAGTTTGAAAAAAGGGTGGGTGGATGTGTCTAAGGACAAGGAGTTCCTTGGTGACGTGTGTGAGGCAAGTGTGTGCGTAAAACGGTGTTTGGACGGGCGAGGAGTTCCCTTGTGAGCCGGGCTCGAGAAAAAGCGTGTCAAAAGAGAGCTTGTGCATGAGGGACAGAGAAGGAGATTTCTCATGAAGAGGAAAAATGTGGGAAACGGGGGGGGGGGGGGCGTGGTCATGGTGACTCTGTGTGCTAGGGACCTCTCCTTGACATGTGTGAAAAAGGAGTTTCCCCAGAAGAGGGAATGTACGAGAGAGAAAGGGGCGCGTTTCCTAAGATAGTGTGTGTAAGAAGCGTACCCTTTGAGGCGTACTTGTAGAAGGACAAGGGAGTGGGAGAGAGTTGTAGAACACGCATCACCAAGGAACTCCTTGTCCACACACACACACACACACACACACACACACCCATACAACCTTTTTTCAAACTTGTAGAAGTGTCACTAGCAAACTCCTTGCCCCCTCCCCCACAAACACAACACATCCTCTTTTCATACACACACACACACACACACACGCTTGTCACACACGAATCACGAGAGGGAGGGAAGGAGGAAGAGCGAAAGAGAGAGAGAGAGAGAGAGAGAGAAGAGAAGAGAAGAGAAGAGACAGAGAGACTAGCACGCGCTAGCTAGGTAGGGGGTGGTGTGGGGTATGGACATTCCTTGGAAGCGTGTATATATGGTGAGACGGGCTTCCCCGTGATGAGCGGGTGTGTGAAAGGGATGTCAGTCGGTCCTCTTTGACATAGCTCTGTGTGTGTGTGTGTGTGTGTGTGTAGAAGGGGTGGGGGTGGGAACTGAAGTGGCTTTCCTCCAGAGGAGGGAGCAGGTGTGTAGGAAAGGTGTGTTTCTTATGAAGAGGGCGCCTGTGCAAGGGACGTGACAGTGTGTATGGGGGGAGGGTGTATTTCCTCCTTGACAAGGATATGTGTCTGTGTGTTTGAATGTATGTGAGAGACCAGGGGGTATGTAAGAAAACGGTGGTTCTCGTGTAGAGGATGCATGTGGTGTCAGGGTCATTCCTTGTGACTATACGTGTGCAAGAAGCGTTCCTCGAGCTAGGATTTGTGCGTGTGTAATCGAGAAAGGGGCGTTCCCAAAGACGGTGTGTGTGTGTGTGTGTGTGTGTGTGTGTGTGTGTGTGTGTGTGTGTGTGTGGTGTCTTTGCCCCTCCTCCTCCCTGGCCCCTCTCCCACCAGCCCGTCAGTCCGCGGGTTTGTCCACCTGGCCCACCTGCAGCCCCGCCTCCTCCACCCTCCTCTTCCGTACGGCCTGGTCCCGCCCTCTCCCCATCGCGTCGCGTCAGGAGGGAGGCGGAGCTCAGTCCCCTCGGCGCGCCTAATTCCCGCGGCTTGCAAGGGGCGGGGCCTCGGGCGGGGTCTTGGGCCTGGGCCTGACGCTCCGCCGCCGTCCCGGCGTGCCCCGCGTTGGCCAGCGAGAAGCTATTCGGTGACTCACCGGCCGCCCTCTCGCGCTCTCCTTCCCCCTTCTCTCCCTCTCGCACTCACACACACCCGGCCCGAGATGGCGGCGGCGGCGGGGGACTCGGACTCCTGGGGTAAGGGGACGCGCCGGGGATGGAGTGGAGTGGGGGGAGGGGTGGCTCTGTGTCTTTTGACCGTAAGCGACTAGTGCCTAACGTGGCTCTCTCTCTCCCTCCCTTCCATAGACGCGGACACGTTCTCGGTGGAGGAGCCGGTGCGGAAGGCAGGGGGCGCGGCTGGCGGGGACCGCTGGGAGGGCGAGGATGAAGATGACGACGTCAAGGTGGTCGCGAGGCTGGGCCGGGACTGGCGGGGGAGGGGGAGGTGCCATGGCGACTGGGGCCGGGGGCGCGGGGGAGCCCAGTCCCTTTGGGCCGCGGGGTTCCGATCCCGACCTGCGGGCAGGGCGGGCCGGCGTTTCCGGGTAGTGGCGCCCTTGCTTCCCCAGGCCCCCACTCCGGCCCTGGGCGTGCCGTCCCGTTCGTCCTTCCCCCTCCCACCCCCGGACACCCGGGCCGGAGGCACGCGGCCGAGGCCTTCTCTGAACAGCTCCCTGGTCTGGGACGGCTGCGGCCCGACCCCGTTTAGCTAATTGCCCTTCGTACCAGGCCTGGGGGGTCCGCCGCCCGCCGAGTAGCCAGCGGAGGTGACCAACCAGCCGGTCAGCCCGGCCCGCAGATCTGCTCCCCGATGACTTTCTGGAAAGGGAGTTGGTTGGAGGGTTGAGGCCCAAGGCATGTTCCATCTGGGAATCCTGGGGAAGAGTCTTCACCTGGCCTTCTCCACTGCTGCGGTCAGTAGTAACTCACTTTAGGGGCCCCGAAGTTTCCAGTCTTGTTGGTGTATACGATTGGCAGCAGATTCTAATGAACAGCTGATAGGATCGATGAATTTACGTATGTGGAGACATTTTGAGAGATTAGCTTCAGTCTCTTCCTTGTCAAACCATTTACCAGAGCTATTTAGAAACATTAAAATGAAGAGATACAGCTTCTCTTCTTTGGTGAAGGAATTAAGCAATGAAATATACAAGGAGCTGGAAGAAATAATAAATGGCCTGGGTAATTCACACAAGCAACATGAGAAATGGAGAGTTGGCAGGAGGGCTTATGTATCAGTACACATGAAAAACACAAAAAAATGGATAGAATGAAAACATTAATATTTGGGTATTGGAGTGGTGAAAGGGCAGTGAGGGCTCCTTTCTAAGTGATGAAGCTAAATTTGAGTTTATTTCATCTCTTCCCACCTGAATTGATTCAGCCTTATTGTATAGTTCTGGAAAGTGTGCCATTTTAATCATGGGGGTCAGTCATGTGGTTTTAGGAAACTGTCCCAAGTATTTTATTTAGTAGCCCTTAAGTCTTAGGTCCAGAGTAGCAAGGGTTTAAAGCTTAATAGAGTAGTGGAGTTTTTGAAATGTTTCAGCAGATGTTGATATATATGTGTGAAGTTGAAAGTTGAGCATTTCCCTCTCATCCCTGGCTCACTACCTGTTCAACAGACCTTAAAAATTGAAACATAATAATAGTGTGCACTTCATAGAGAACTCTCTGACTTCCCTTTCCTCCTGAATGTTTGGATCTGCTTCGTGTCCCCTCCTGTTCCCCCCAAGTAGCCAAGCACCCTTTAAGATACTGTATAAAATGAGTATTTTTTTACTGTTCTTTAACGCTGCACAATGTATGTTGCAATTTAGAAAAAATTTTAGCAGTGGAAGTGAGGTAAGGTTAGCAAGAGGAAAAGTTAAGAGAATTTTAAGAATGATGGGAAGAAAAGTAAGCGTTAAAATAAACTGAAAGAACTGGAAGTAAACAAAATGATGCTGTGTACTTGAACTAGCTTCTGTTTTTCCCCCACAGTTATTAAACCTACTTAAGTAAAAATAAAGGTTTTTTAAACTGACCAGAGAGTTGATGTAGGATTTGTTTTATAACCCGTATGACTGTCATTGAAAGGCAGTGATAGTATTGGACTTTCTGCTTCAAAGCCCTCCTGATCATGGGCAAGTCATCTTCCTAGACTATAAATTACAGAAGAATTGCTGCGTTGGTGGAGGGAGTTCCCCACACATACTGAAGGAATCATAGGCCCTTGATGTAATGTTGAAATGACATTTGGGTTTTGTTAACCTTTATAGAAATGTTTTTATATTCTGGTGTGTATTCTTAAAACAAATATACTATTGATTCTATTGCATTATCAAGATTCCTTGAATGTCTTCCGTGGAGTACTTTGGACTAGTTGTCTCTTCATGTATCTTAATTTAATTTCAACCTTAAAACAAAAAGCTTAGATTGGGTAAAGTTGTAAACCCATGTAGAAGGAGTGTTTCATTTAGTCAGCAATTATTTGTTTCTAGTTAATGTAATGTACTTTAGTTCTCTAAAGCAGGACTTGGCACATTTGCTTTGATTTTGGAGCCATTTCAAAAATGTAGGAGCCAGATGAATTTGTCATCTTTCAAAGAACAAAAAAGGGGAGGGTTGTAGAGGCAACATATTGCCATTGGGTTTTACAGCATAATCTCAAATTAGGATTACTGGGATTATATAAAAGGGTCTTAATGGATCCTCTGAAAACAATTAAAGAAGAAATTTATCACATCTAAAGATTCTTGGGACCTTAATGACTGTCACATATATAGTCTTCCTCACCTAGCTCTCCCCAAAATGTGTACTGGGAATTGGACCCCAGACTAAGAAGTTTGTGGTATGGTAGTGATTGAGAATCCCAAAGAGCCTCCATGTTGCTCTTTACCGCTCTCTGAGCTGAATTATCCAGTGGTGTGGACTACTTTTCAAATTATTACAATAGTAAGATATAAAAATGTACATGAGGGGAGTTTGGAGATTTTGTAGTTTGATTGTTTGTGATTGACCCAGAATGTTAGATGCTTTTGACAGCCTAGCTCACAGAATTTGTCAAGCTCTCATTGAGAGCTTCTGGGACTTTTATAGGATACAATATTGATCTGATCGTAGTCCCTATTAAGTGCAGGTTTTATGTTCTAACTGAAATGTATTATAGGTTGTCATTTGTATTGAACTCTTGCTTACTCAGGAAATTATTTATATGCTGAAAGATGTAAGGGTTATTGATAATACCAAACTAGAGTTGAAAATTGTCAGCTAATTGGTCCTATTGGCACCAAGTTTCTGAAGTATAATGTTAGTCTTTGACCAATGTATGGATACTAACTTGGTGTAATAGAAAATTATAATCCTTAGAAGATGTAAAGCCTGAATTTCTGGTAAAATGGGCCTCTAAACCAAAATCTGTAGTCAAACTGGAACCATTTCTTCATGAACTAGGGTTTAACCGTATAGATTTATGTTAGGTTTTAAATGTCACTTTGTAACATCCTGAGAAAGGCAGCTGGGGGATTTGTAGATAGTACTATACTCTCAGCTTTCACAGCAGACATTAAATTATATTAGATATTCTTGTCTTCTAAAACCTGTTCTGCAGCTGACTGCTTGTAGACTTATGTAGAATTCTCTCTCACAGAGGGAAAGCTTGTGGTCCTTTATAAGTAAGAACAAACATTTATGCTAAATTTTTTGGTGCATTGATGCCTGCTCTGGGCTTTGCTGGCTAGGAAGAAAGGAACATATTCTATCTTCTGATAGCAAGAGAGAAAAATGCAGGTGAAATTCTTAGGTTAGCATATGCCATTGAGATATCAACATTTCTGGGGCTAGTTTATTCCATCTTCTTAATCAACAAATCCATTGCCTACTGAGAAGTAGGTTTAATTAATTTGGGGAAACTTATCCAAAGTGCATAGAACCATGTCAAGCACTGTGCTTTTTTTCCTTAAGATTTAAAGTGATCCTGAAGAACTGATAAGAGATTCTTTCTGCTTCTCCATCTTGAACTCTTTTCCTTGCTTTTGTAAATCAAGAACCTTGCTCCAATTAGTCTGTAATTTTAAAGTTACCAGAATTAGAAACTTCTTCAAGGTTATAAAGTAGTCTTCTAAAGAAAGGGGGGAGGGGTGTATTTCAGAGAAATGTGAGATTACCTGGAAATACTAGGGAGGTAGGGAGGTGGGCATTCTGCCAAGAGGAATTTCAGTGTATATTTCTAGCGAATTCCAAATTAAATTTTTGTGGACCAGTATTTGCTTATCACATTTTTAGTTCTGGCTTATACAAATAATTCACTTGTTTTAATGTTCATAGACTTGATTTTTGATACTATTTAGCCAATATGAGAAATATAGGCATTGGCCATGGTGGAACACTATGGAGTCCTAGAGTCTAATAAGCATTTTACATATAAGAGAAGTTCCATATGTATTTGTTGAAATAAACAAGAGTAGAATTTATTAAGGAAAATGCCCCTTTACCCCTTGTGTTTGACATAGTTATAATTAATCCTGATAATATAAGTTTATAATAGGGAAAGCTTCTGGAATTTGTTTTGAAACAAAGATGCTGATTTGGAACTGGGCTCAAAAAGTAACTAAACTGCATATCCTTTGACCCAGTGATGTGTCTACTCAAAAGTTATGTCACCCTCAAAGAGATCACAGAAAGAGGAAAGGGGCCCATATGTACAAAAAATATTTGATGAGAAAGAACTGGAAACTAAAGGGGTGCCCATCAGTTCAGGGAATGGCTGAACAGATCACAGTATATAAATGTAATGGTATGCTATTGTGTAGTAAGAAATCAAAAAGGGGACGATTTTAGAGAAACCTGGGGAGACTTGCATGAATTCTGATGCAGAATGAAGTGAACAGAACCAGGAGAATAATTTATACAGTACAATATTGCAAAAACAAACAATTTTGATGGACTTGTGATCTCTGATGAATTCAGTTACCAACCATGATTTCAGAGCACCAATGGGGAAGCATGTTACACCTTTCTGAGAGAGATGATGGATTCAAGAGACAGAAAGAGATATAGATTTTTGGGTGTGGACAAGATGGAAATTTGTATTGCTTTACTATGCATATTTGTTACACGAATTTTGTACTTTTTCAGTTGGAGGGCTGAAATGGGAGGCAAAGAAAATAAATATTTGTTCATTGAAATATAAACTTTTTTTTAAGGGGGTGGGGGGAAATGGAGCTGCTGGTGAGCTCCAGGCTTATCCTGAGCTGTCCCTTTTGGAAGACCTGCAGTATCCTGGAAAAGTTTTTTTGGTGCTTCTCAGAGGTTTGGGTTCACCTTAGAGCCCAAGAGAAAAGAGGACAACCAGAAAAGAAATGACTATTATTCAAGTAGAAGCAAGAAAGAACATTTGCTTATCTGCTTTCGTGTCTTTCAA